CTGCCTCGTGTGCCGTGGCGGCCTTAGCAGGTGCTGCCGCTCGCCAACAGCACTTGCCCCACAAATCTGTTAAAGGCTACACGGGAATCCTTCGCCTTTGTACCGAGAGCACCCGCGCGTGCGTGAGTCACGCGGAGTGCGCGCACGCGCGTGGGCTGGGGTGGCACGAGGTACCCTCCTTTGCTTCCCATGTTGACGCTCAGCTGCATCTTAACATCAAAGTGAGTAACGTTGTGATTCATAAGTGTGATTTTTTTTTGGGGGGGGGGGAGAAGTGGGCTATGCCACCCACACTTACATCACGATCCGGTCAAGCGTGTGTCGTTAATGCCCTCTGCCACACAACAGCCAATCAAATGAAAGGTTGTCGCATGTTGGCTCCGGTGCGTTATCGTTGCGTCTCTGCGTCGCTGATGCCACGCAGTGTTTGTTTAATGTCGTTCTCGTGTATTTGAGTGTTTTTTACCTCCGAAGTTGGATTTAATGTTTTTTTTTACGGAAAACCACTGCTTAGCTTCCTATTTATAACACCATACCGTGGATGTGGCAGTGTGTGGTGTGTGTGTGGGGGGGGGGGGGGGGGGGCGTAGTGGTTAACGCGCTGCGAGACCCGAGTTTGACACAAGTCACGATAATTATCTGAACCAGTCCTTGGCCTCCCCTGGGTCAACTCAGCCTCAACTGAGTACCTGGTGCGGGGTGTTAACAACAGTGCCTCTAGGAAGACAAAGGCGGCCGGGGTTGGTGCTGGCTACCCACCTCCTCGTGTGCCGTGTTGGTGCTACGTTTATTTATTTTGGCAGCGCGTGTGTGTGTGATGGTGCATCAGAATATATCGTGTTGCCAGATGCGACTTCAAGAGACCGGGGCAGGCTCATTTGCAAGTGAGATGATCTTGTCTTGCGGAGTTCTCGCATGCTTTACAGCACCGTCTGCAGACGTGTGCCGTCGGGCATTTCGCCAAGCGTGGAGCGTGCGAAATTATATCCCGGTGAGCAGTGCCGGATGAAGCTAGTGCTGGGCTTGTAGCATATGTTATGAAGGGGCCCTAAATAAATAATAAGCACGTAAATATTAAAACACTATTTTTTTACTTGCACAATAAAGTTATTGTATTTTTTTCATTTGCTACACAGCCAGATAATACGACAAATCGCTAACCTTAAACACCCAGTCGTTCGTAAAAGTTGAAGGCGGTATAGTACTATAGTCATAGAGCAAGTGCAGAATCATTGAACCGGAATTGATAGCTTGAAAGCATTTAGTGCGGGGCCCTTGAAAGTGCGGAGGCCCGTAGGCATCTGCTACTTTTGCTACGAGGATAATCCGTCACTGCCGGTGGGTCACCGTAGTGCAGTACAACACTGGCCTCTTGGCAAAACGTTCAAATCTCAGAATTAGTTCTCGTCGCGAGTGACTCGTCAACGAAAAGCAGCGGCTCGGCTCGCTGAGTCACTACGACAACTCCCGGATTGGTGCCGATTTCACGGCTGCCGATGCTGCCACTGTTTGTCCGAAGCCAACGCAATTTTGGCGGCTTGTAACAAAATAAATGAATACGCCGTATTCGCCACATCGTAAGGTCATTCCGGAATGTTAGACGCACCTCAAACCTGTGCCCGGTGTAATACACAAAGATAAAGATCCTCCCCCGGCCCACTACCGTGTAGCCTTAACAGACTGTTGGGGCAAGTGCTGTTAGCGAGCAGCACGTTTGGAAGCCAGCATGGCACACGAGAGAGTGGGTGGCCAGCGGCGATGTCTACACACCGCACCGGGTGTTGTACTCATTTAAGGCTAAGTTGACCTTGGTGAGGGCCAGTGAATGGGAATTTAACTCGAGTGGCCAGGTTTGTAGAGCAGTGCGCTAACCGCTGTGCCACCACTCCCCTCCCACTCCAAGCAAAAAATAACGCACACAACCCTGTCAGATGTATTTCAACTGTGATGATTATTTTATCAAGATACAACTGTTAATTATTGATACATTCTTTTCATTAATGTTTTAACAAGTAGCGGAATGTTTTTTTTATAACATTCATTTTGCGTTTAATGAGAAGCTGAATTTGAATTATGGACAGGACCACTGGGTTTGAACCAAGGAAGTTGATGGCTCAACGCTTCATATATAACACATTCCTCCTGCGGAGGGAGCTGGTAGGAACGTTGGATTGTTCGGTCAATGGCCTGCAGGGTCAACGGCGGCGTGGTGTATTCCGCAAATATGCCCGACTGTGAGGGCGGGCACAAGCCGGCGTGAGTAGGATAAACGTTGAGTTTTATAAGGGCACCACGGGCTGACCAGCCCCTCCCCACCCAGCCCCACCCTCTCCACCCAGCCCCTCCCCACTCTCCCCACCCAGCCCCTCCCTCCCCTCCTGTGGGCTGGTGTAACCAGGAGGTTCCAACCAGTAATACCTCACCAAAACTACTCATCACAAACCGTGTTCGCCGTGACATCCCACGCCAATCGCTGGTGCGCGTGCCGGCCTAACATATCAGTGGTGAGATGTTAACTCCCGCGCCTGGTATGCAGGAGGTCGTGGGCTCGATAGCGACCCTGACGCTTTTAAATTTGTATTTAAAGCTTTAGTGACTGCAGGGATTCATTTTCTTGGTTCGTTCGGTAAAATATAATTTTCTTGCCGTGGCCTCGTGACACCGGGGATCTTTAAATTTCAACGACAACAACAACAACCAAACAAAAGAGAACCCATAACAGAGGTTCTTCTGTTTGGTGAGATCGCACCAATGTAGATGTATCGTGAAATCCCCGCCACCACCCGAAGCAACAGCCCAGAACCGGCCCTAGACCTTTGGGGGCCCTAAGCAAAATTTGGTTGGAGGCCCCTTTGATGAATGATTTTTTTCACCCACGCGCTAGCAGTGACTCTAGGGGGGCCCTCTGCTGGCCACGGGGCCCTTTGCAATTGCAAGGGTCGCTTAGTGGCTGGGCCGGCTCTGCAACAGCCAATTGGAGACTAGTCTCAGCACCACACCGGTTGTTGTGTGTTGGCCGAGTAAACCCACGACTACATTTACAATTCGACTACCGTGACGTTTCACAAGTATTTAGAGAACAAAGCGAGATGGGAGGTGGGGGGAGGGTGCTGGTGGTGGTGGGGGGGGGCTCTCAAGTCGGGGCCCAGCAACAACAAAGGCTCCAGGGGTGATTTGTATGAATTATTTGAAGCATATTTAGCCGCATGTTCCAACAAAGGGACTCTGGCAAGCTTATAGAAAATAAATAAACCGCACTCGAATACGTGTGTGTGTGTTATAAGTGCAGCGTGCACATTGAGCTCGCGACAAAGAGGGGGTGGGTGGGTGATCAAGAAGAACCGCGCATGGCCACGCTGCCCCAAGTACTCATTTAAAGGCTTCCTTGACCTCGTTGACCTCGGCGTGGCCGTGAGTGGGAATCGAACTCGCGTCGTTGTGTTCGTAACGCGGCGCGCTTACCGATGCGCCACTGGATCTACAGACACGCGTGCACACAGCACGCGCTCACACAGCACATACATCAAAGACAAATACCCCCCTTATAGCCTGTAACAGATTGTTGGGGCAAGTGCTGTTAGCGAGCACCTATGAAGGCCGGCACGGCACACGAGGGGGTTGGTGGCCAACACCACGCCCGGTCGCCTTTGTCTCCCCAGTGGCGATGTTTACACCGAACCAGGTACTCATTTGAGGCTGAGTCGACCTAGGGGAGGACCGGTTCAGATAATCGTCACCGGTGTTGGCCGTGAGCGGGAATCGAACTCCGGCCGCCGGGTTCGTAGCGCAGCGCGCTAACCGCTACACTACTGCTGAAACATTACATCACGCGCACACAGACACAGATCACACGCGCAGATGCACACATCACACAGACACGCACCATGCACACACAACGATCAAACCATGCACTCTCAAATAACTACGGCCCATCAATAATGCACGTGCACAGTTAAGTGTGTGTCGGAGTCAATGGGGGGTTGTTTTTGTGTGAATCGTCGCCAGGGTGTGGGAAGATGCCCGACAGACAACAACAATAACAACAGGAACAAGAGACCCAACCGACAAGCCGAGGGGGGGGCCCTAGGTCCTTTTACAATAAACATCTGGTCACCTGTATATGCATACAGTTAAACAGTGTAGCACTAAGCCTGTGGCTTTCAGAGCGGTTACAATTATTTTTATTTCTTAAAAATGTCGATAGATTATCTCATTAGTCTTAGCCAGTAGTAACTATCTTCTTGGTTCTTTCGGTAAAGTCACGTAGAAGGGAAGTAATAAAATAATAAAACATAATAAAATCATTCTCACGACGTTTCGGCCACAACGCAAGCAGCCGTCCTCAGGTGAAGTCCAGGTCTGTCGGGGAGACAGCGTCTGAATGAAACAGCACCACGCTTGGAGCGTATATTTAAGCTGGGTTGGAAGGGGGGAAGGGCACCTTGACAAAATAATTTGCATATCAAGAGGAATTTAGCATATTTATGGGAAATACAGGTATGTGATTCGTACTACACCTGAGGACGGCTGCTTGCGTTGTGGCCGAAACGTCGTGAGAATTATTTTATTATGTTTAATTTTTATTATTTTATTACTTCCCTTCTACGTGACTTTACCGAAAGAACCAAGAAGATGAATCCCTGCAGTCACGAAAGCTTTAAATCGAAACAGTAGTAACTAGTTTTGCACAGAACTTCCAACATTATCAAAATCAATTGAGTGTCCTTGTTGGCACACGTGTTCTGCCACTGCCATCAGTTGTATTTGGGAGTATTAAATATTCCTTTTGTGTTCTTTTATTCTCACGCTGATCATTAATTCTGTCTAACTAACATAGCATTTGCCGCAGGAGAAATTAATCCGGTACACTCCTTCTGTTGATAGCTTCGGTAATATATCTTAAGTAGCAGATATTAGCTGTTGTATTGTATATACCGTGCTACATCTCACTCGGATGTTTTGTTTTTCCCTCCCTCCCTCTTCGGCCACAATCCGCGCAGTACGTGGCATACATCTCGCTTTTCTTCATCCTCGTCTCCATTACCACATTCTGCCTGGAGACGCACGAAGCCTTCAACGTCCCCCGGAGCCCCCAGCCCGGCGAGCCCTCATCCGGCTACGGCCACGGCGGCGACGGGGGACGCAGCGGAGACCCGGACGCCGATCGGCCGTCGTATGCCAACGCTAGCGGCACTACCGCCGTGCCTCTGTCACCGCTGCCGACCGAGTCGACGGAATACGAGACGGCGCCAGCGCTCATGTACATCGAGGGCATGTGCGTCGTGTGGTTTACCATCGAGTTTATGGTGCGCATCCTCACGAGCCCCAACAAGCGGGAGTTCATGAAGAACAAGCTGAACATCATCGACCTCATCGCCATCCTGCCCTTCTACCTGGAGGTGGGGCTCTCCAACTTGAAGTCCAAGGGGGCTCGCGAGGTGCTGGGGTTCCTGCGGTAAGCAGCTCCACGGTTTGTTTTCTTTGTTTTGGCTTTTAGAAAAGATGTTATTGTTCTTCTTGGTTCTTTCGGTAAAGTCACGTAGAATGGAAATAATAAAATAATAAAAATAAAACATAATAAAATAATTCTCACGACGTTTCGGCCACAACGCAAGCAACCGTCCTCGGGTGGAGAGGTGGAGAGCAGGTCTGTCGAGTAGACAGACCTGTCGAGTAGACTGTCTAAAAGACTCTGTCGTCTCGACAGACCTGCTCTCCACCTGAGGACGGCTGCTTGCGTTGTGGCCGAAACGTCGTGAGAATTATTTTATTATGTTTTATTTTTATTATTTTATTATTATTTCCATTCTACGTGACTTTACCGAAAGAACCAAGAAGATGAATCCCTGCAGTCACGAAAGCTTTAAATCGAGATGTTATTGTTGTTAGCCCAGGAAAGCCTCACCGAGTCTCAAGACTCCTTTTTCAGGAGGTTTCCTACGAAGTTTTCGCAGCAGGGGCACGATGCTGCTGCTGCTGCTGCTACTGCTGTGTGTGTGATCCCCGCTGAGTAATTTGCAGGTAGTTTTTCAGCATGGGGATGGTTGGCCAGTGCCAGCCATGGGAGGAAACCAAAGGACCCAGAAAAAAACTCATGCGGGCGAAACGGAGGGATATCAAACATCCACCACACAGAGGCACCCGAGTCGGGAATCAAACCCAGGTCCTTCTTGCTATGAGGCACGAGCGTTACCGCTACGCCACCCTGCTTTTGGAAAGCTGAACTTGATGATGAAAAGTAATCGAGCAGCGTGTCTAAATAATTATTTTTTTAAGTGTGTACCGCATGCTATGACGTACGGTTCAGACGCATGGTCCTCAACATAAAAGTGTGCAAAAAGCATGGAGAGATGCACGCTTTAGAATTACACTGAGAGACAAAAATACGAACATGTGGATTGGAGAACACACGCGGGTTAATGCCATTATCCCCACTGTTAAGAAAAGTGAGTACGTAGCCGACTGTGCTAATCAGAGGGGTGGAGACACGTTGTTGGGAGGTTGGCCAATGGTCAGGACTAACAACGGAGCGGCAGTCAAGGGAATGGAACGCTTTTTCGAGGGCATCCACCGAGGAGTGCGGGATAGTGACAGGTGGACGCTTTAGTGGGGGTAGGGCGGGGGGGGGGGCGAGCCATTCATCCAGCAGTGGATCGATCACGGCTGAATGTGGCGATCTTTTTTTTCCGCCCAGGGTGGTGAGGTTTGTGCGGATCCTGCGGATCTTCAAGCTGACACGCCACTTTGTCGGCCTCCGCGTGCTGGGCCACACGCTCAAGGCGAGCACCAACGAGTTCCTGTTGCTCATCATCTTCCTGGCCCTCGGCGTGCTCATCTTCGCCACCATGATCTACTATGCCGAGCGTCTCGGCGCCAAGCCCGGCATAGATGAGGACAAGACACACTTCACGGTGAGCACCGATCGGCAGCAGCGACGTTAACCGATTGGGGGGGGGGGTTTGAGTGCAAACAACCCTCGTGTCAGTTGTCGTATAATATGGCCGCCATGACATCATCACTCCATGTGCTTCAGCCGGTCTGTGGCTGAGGCTAAGTATACGTTTTTAGTTCAAAACGTAGGTGTTCACACGCGATATTTTGGTTCGTAAATATTCCTTTGGTTTAGGCCAAGTAATGATCCGGTCAAATGTAGATAATTGAATGCGTTTGGCTATGTCGAGTAGTTTCGGGGATTATGCCAGAAATTTAGCCAGACCATTACATGGCCAAACCAAAAAAGCAAATAAGGAATATTTTCGGTTGTTTTTGATTCTATGAATGTTATCAATGTTATAAATAGTATGATTGTTCTTATCGACGTACAGGGGGTCTTGATCACCCCTAGGTTATGTCCTAACTTTACGATGCTTTATTGTCTTAACTACCTGTATGGAATGGACGTTAAGACAAGTCTCAATGTATGCAATGGCTAGAATTGCATTGTTATGTACTCACTGTAATTACTTCCCATGATAGCGAGCATTATAAAAAGTCCACTGAGCCCATTGTCTTTCTGTATTGGTTCAATTAAGTACCGCTTTGTGAGAAGTCATCAGTGTTGTGCTATAGAGCTGGTTCTCTCTTCATGATGAGAATATGGAATGTCCACAAATGGCCACACGTAGCCTATGCCCATCCTCACCCTATTCTGTCAATAAACCCAACCATTCCTTCTCCTTACCCAAACTTTATCTTAACTCTAACTCTAACTATAAACCCAACCTAACACTATCTCTATCCAAATCCTATCCTTACCCTAACCCTATCTCAATCCTAACCATAACCCTAAACCCAACGTAACCTTATCTCTATCCTGACTCTAACCTTACTTTAACGTTATCTCTCACCTAACCATAACCCCAGTCAAACCCTATCCCTTTCAATCTCTTACCCTATCCTGAATAATAACCCTTGACCCCACCCCCTAAACCCACACCCCCTACCCCGCACACGCCCGCACACAGAGCATCCCCATCGGCTTCTGGTGGGCTGTGGTGACGATGACGACGCTGGGCTACGGTGACATGTACCCCAAAACATGGTCGGGCATGCTGGTGGGAGCGCTGTGTGCCCTCTCGGGCGTGCTCACCATCGCTATGCCGGTGCCCGTCATCGTCAACAACTTCGGCATGTACTACTCGCTGGCCATGGCCAAGCAGAAGCTGCCCAAGAAGAAGAACAGCTACATGCCCAAGGTGGCAGCCGTCATGGGGGTGGGGCCGGCGGCGATCGCAATTGCGGCACCGCACCAGTTCGGGCAGCCGCCCCCCTCCACGCCGACGCCGCCGCCGCCGTCGGCTTCGCCGTCTCAGCTGCTGCAGCGCAGGAACTCGGCGCAGAAGAAGGAGTGCGCGACACCCACGCGCAGGCGCGCCGTGGCCTCCATAGTGGCGGCCGTGAGCGGCAGCGGCGGGCGGGCCGGGACAAGCCTCGAGGGGGTGGTGCCGCTGGCCGGGCGGCCGCACAGCTGCGGTGGGTGCGGTGGCGGTCATGCCGGCGGTGGCGGCGGTGGTGGTGCTGGAGGAACGGGTGGGGGTGTTTGGGCCAGCGTAGTGGATGTGGTGGATGTGGAGCATTTGCCCGGTGAGTACCCGAGGGCCAGTCCCCACAGTTGCCGCACTTGTTCACTCAAAGCCTACGGTAGGCCTTGGAACGTGACGGTCAGAGGCGGATCGAGTAACTTCCCAAGGCGGGGAAGTTCCTGAAATTTCAAGCTGTTTTTATACGGCCCTACATTAATACGATAAGCACTCAATGTATTTTGTCTTCTTGTAAGTATCAATATGTACATACGTACCTGAATCGTTTGTCCGTCACGATCTCGTGCAGACCCCAAGCAGAACGGGGAGGCCGGAGCACTGCTGGTGTGCACCGAGGTGGCCGGCCTGGCCGCCCACGACGCTCTGGGAGAGGAGCTCGCCGACATGGAGGCGGGGCTCGCAGAGAGGGCGTCGGGGCGATTGGGACGAGTGACGGGCCCCACAGATGACGGACAGCGGCGAGACAGCCAACCCGAGGAGACAAGACTTCTGCTGTCTCCTGCCGATGGGGACCTCCACAAAGGTACGTTACCGATTGTAATTATTTACATTTTATAAGGGGGCAGCAGACCAAACAAAGGGCCTCAAAGCGCCGTACAGAAGAAAAATAAACTCCTCTAGTGTATCTGACATATCGTAGGAAATTAGTAGTTTTTTTTTGTTTCTTTCTAAATGGGAGAATCTCAGCAGTCCGACGCATTTCTTCAGGCAGAGAGCATTCCAAATCTTGAGCGCCAAGGACCAAAAAAGGCCCGAGTTCCTAAACATTTTTGCCGAAAGCGCCGCTGGCAGAGGGGCACGGTCACGGTGTGAGGACAAACGCATCATCATTTAATGAGCCGTGCATGATCCACTGCTGGATAATGAAGGCCTCCCCAAAAGCCACCGCCTCATCTCACGATGCTGTGATGTAACAATCAAGGCGGCGCCTGCTCGTGAACAAAATTCCTCCAGATACTTTTTTGAGGTCGCTTTTGTCGCTTTCACAATGTTGATCCCGCCTCTGCTGTTGATGTCAAGCCATGAGACCTAGTGTTCATTCGAATTGCAGAGGTGGCAATGAAATGCTGTGAAAGAACAGGGTGATTCTTTGATACACCACTAGAAGAATAGGGATTATAGAGAAAAGGACTTTTTATTTTACAGCCGCTGTGTATGTTGAACTTTGTTTGCACCATACCTAGCCAACCGTGCTAATCGTTGATGCGGGGGCACAACAACAAACTAAACAGAAAAGGCAGTTCCAAAGAAATTTGTTTTAAATCTCGTTTTAAAAATTCATTCCTCCCAGTGATTTCCTAACATCGGAAGGAAAAACGTTCCAGACGCCTCCCACCAATCTAGATCAAAATACAATTCCCAATGTGACCCGTGCCTACTGTGCCTCAATCTTTCCTGGCCGTGACCCTTATCGAGGGCACAGGGTGGTCATCGATAATTGATGAAATAAAAGTTTTAGTAGCGCTCCGGCAGTGTTTTCCTTGGTCCCACTGCGTGATCCTCGTGTTCGTCAACCGCAACACGACTCGTTCCCACTCCCATCGGCCACGTGCACACAACACAAGGACTTTCTGAGGGGGTGACGCGGTTCCAAAACTGCATCTGTTTATTTGTACGGCTCCCAGCACACAGCTACACCAACGGACCCGTGATATGAACGTGTTGGCGTCACGATTGGCCTTCAATACGGGCCTCCCTCTCTTCAAGATCCCTTATGCAGTGGTCACGTGACTCTGGCAATTATGTAAATATATATTTGAACAATAATAAAAAAAACCCTATACTTATATAAACAATCAGTTATGTTATTCTAATCATGTATATCCTTTATAATACTCTGATCTTCCTAACTTGACGATGATTAATAATACTACACCTATTCCAGCTATCATTTGTATTACCATATTTATCCTGATATAAATTACGTAAACTATCCAGACTACGATTTACATTGCTATGCTTATCCTAGCTATCATTTCCTAGACTGTTTATCCTATCCATACTATTTATGCCATAGCCCCATCCCGACTACGATTTATATTACAATAATTTTAAATAGTACTATGAGATATTCTTTGGGTCTTTCGGTAAAGTCAAGTAGATAGGTTCAAATTAATAAAAATAAAATAAACAAAAACAACGACGTTTCGATCACAACACAAGCGATCGTCATCAGGAGGAAAAAGAGGGGGAAAGCTGCTGAGGAAGACTGTTTTAAAGGTTTAAAATGGGCGTAGCCCAAGGGTCATAAACGAAGTGGGTGGGGCTAGTTATGTTAATGTGATAAATTAGCATGTTAATGTAAGATCGAAGAGCCGCCGCCACACCGAGGTCGGCGCGCGGAGGTGGCCATGTTGGTGCGAGAAAAAAAATGGAACCTATTAATGTAAAATCGAAGAGCTGAAGCCACGGGGAAAATAAAAAACTAGCATCGGAAGGTGGCAGGATGGGAATATCACAGCCAGTTATGACTTAAACTGGTTGACGATGTCCTTCCAATGATTGCTGAGTTTGTACCCATCCTCTCGGTTGAAAATGTGTCTGTATATGTGGATGGCTTCATGAACAAACCTTTGTTGATTGCCAGTAGGCTTATAAAGTACCTTCGTCTTAAAGAAATCAATTTCGTGTGAGCCAACCGCATTAAAACAATGATCAGCCCCGGCCGACGCGTTGGTCATACGGTGTTTCAAATCTGCCTTATGCTCATGAACACGGCCCAAGACATGTCACTTAAGTCAAGATTTAGTACTATGAGAATCATATAGAGCTTATCTTAACTGAAATCTCTAATACCCTTAATTATTCATCAATTAATCAATACGTAACAATGTCTAACTTATAATATACATTCAGAGCGAGAGTCAGGCTCCACTTAGGCCTCAATAATGGCGGCCAAACATTTAACAATATTAACACTGACAATTATCAATAACGATTTAACTCTATCATATGTGCACACTATCATACTTATAAAACTGTTAACAAATAAGTGTAAGTATATATTAAACCTGTAATATCAATGTGCTGGCGTAACGATTGGCTCTCAATACAGGCCTCCCTCTTTTCAGGATCGCTAGGCAATATATCTCACACCATGAAATTTACATATTTTAATTTATCATGAATTAACTACTGTTTCAAGTTCACTAATATCTAATATATTATAAACATAAATATGTGTTAATGGTTATGTAATTATAAAGGATGGCTACGGATAAAATTTTCATTAAAATGTTTGTGCTAACTCACCTTATCCAGTGGTCACGTGACCATGCCTAACGTCCATCTATCCTAAGCAAATCGTGACCCGGCAATATTCACAAGGTTTGCCACCCACTAATTACACCCTCTCTAACACTGTAGTGCGAATATATGCACCATTTATTGGTAACGCAACCACACTGGTTACACAAACCGTAATCATCTTTCGCATTTAGATGGCACTGAAATGTCTCGCCGACTCAAATAGCCTCACGGCTCATCTAAAACATGTATAGGGCACCCACAGTGGCAACTTTCCCTGTGCGGCATAAAGTGACCTCAGAGTAAGAAGATCACGAGGTTGACTCCTGACTCTCTGCGTGGAGTTTGTCGGTTCTCTCCCCATATCCTGCGTGGGTTTTCCACCGGGTTCTCTGGTTTCCTCCCTTAGCTAAAAAAAACCCCATGCAAAGTTGTAACTGGCATTGACAAAAAAAACACATCCTAATGCTGACAGATTGCTCTGATAATTACACTATTGGAGAATTGCAAACGGCAACATCGCCCCACTGCCTGCGAAAACTCGGCAGGATCCTCTTGGAAAAAGAGTCTTTAGACTCGGTGAGGCTTTTCTGGGTAAACAAGCGTATAATATCGATTTAAAGCCTTTGTGACTGCAGGGATTCATATTCTTGATTCTCTCGGTAAAGTCACGTAGAAGGGAAATAATAAAATAACAAAAATAAAACATCATACAATTCTCACGACGTTTCGGCCACAACGCAAGCAGCCGTCCTCAGGTGAAGAAACAGAGCTGTCTTAGGACGCTGTCTTTCCGACAGCTCTGTTCTTCACCTGAGGACGGCTGCTTGCGTTGTGGCCGAAACGTCATGAGAATTTAATTATGTTTTATTTTTGTTATTTTATTATTTCCCTTCTATGTGACTTTACCGAAAGAACCAAGAATATAAGCGTATAATAATAATAAACAATACATTTTTTTCTTTTGCAGATAATTGCAAAGATGCAGGGTTCCTGTCGAGCTACATCAAACCGGACGGTATCACTCTCACATAAAGCAACTCGTGTGTGAAATTCCGCAAATGCAAGACGAAGAAAAGTGTAAAGGAAACGCACAGCAATTGCATCGTTCCTCGGTAACGAGCTGTTTCAGATTCGGCTGCATAAAGCTGTACAGTTGAGCGTTTTTGGGTGTTTTTTCTTTCTTTCAGCTAGCAGTTGAGAAGTTGTTTTCATGAATCTTGGAGAGAGAGAGGAAAAAAACCTGTGGAAATATTTTTGTTCCAAACCTCAGTTTTTTTTTTAAAGAGCCCAGCTCACTCTTTGCAAAAACCGAGACTATCTTTGGCCTCCTGAGTTCTCACCTGGTTTAATACAAATAAACTCAACGACGTTTATCGTTTTGTCCACGTAAAAATTATTCAGGAAAAAAATAAGGACGTTTGAAGTGGGGGGGCAGGTGGGGGTGGTGGTGGGGGGCACGTGCTTGAGTGTGTGTCGTGAAACCCCCACGAGCGGAAACTGAAAGACATTTTTGGGAAAAACATCTGAAAGTTAGAAAAAAAGGTGACGTTAATTGTGAAAGTGGCCTCGTGAAAGTGGCCTCTTGAGACGGAAAAACACGTGGCGAGTTTCTCGCTCGGTGGAACCGAGCTGTTCGAGGAACGCCAAGCATATCTGAAAACGTACGAAATGTAAGAGAAATGTTCGAAATAATATTTTGAGAAAATGTACTTGATATCATCTCGAGTAGCGTTCTTTGTGGGTTTTATACGCGTGCAGTGCAACACAAGAGGGCTCTAAGTGGTGTTGAGAGTGACGTAAAAACAACACGTTATTTGTTCCTTGTTCTGGGTGAGACGTTTGTGCCCTATATTGTAATTTTAAACCAAGGCTACCTAACCGTTGGGCATTGTGATGCAAAGCCTGAAAGAAGGCCCCTTACCTGGTTTTAATAATAATAATAATAATCCACTGTCTGTATTTGGCAATCCCTCCTGTTTCAAAGATTCGTCTCAGTCTGTGGTTTGGATCAGGACTTTTATGTTTCACCCGGTATTTTCCTTATCGCCGCGACGGATAATGATCATACCTATCGGCCGATATGGTTTACCCCGTATTCTTGTAGTACAGGGAAATTGAGTTTTCAGGTCCATACGGTGTACAGCCGTTTCGAGTCGGGCACAAAAAAAATGGTCTATTTGTTTGTGTTTCTCCCTTGTAATGGGAATTTCTTGGATGAACGTTGAGATGTATAAGGGCAAGGGGTGACCAGTAAGGTCTGAATTGGTAAGGACTGATAGATATAGATTATCGGTGTAAGGCACTACCACTAGAGATATGAGGCATGCCTCCTATCCATCATGTAGTAATCCTGTATTATTGTATCCTATATTCCTATAAGCCTATGAAAGTTTTTCTTTTTTAATATAGATACAAAAAATATCATTAAGAGGCCAAAAATAAGGCGAGATGAATGTGGGATGGATAAAATAATTCCCAGAGTAAGCGTTACAGATTGTTCCGGATTAAATGAAGCATTGGTTTTAACTGAGTCACTAATGACTGCAAACGACTACAACTTCCAATGATATTCAACTTGGTTTTCACTGAATGTAGAGAAATGTATAAAATAACGATTCGACTGGCCCGCGACAAATGTTAGGATCTATACATCACAAAGCAGAACATTCATCCCCTTCACAGATCCGCTTAAAAAAAACATATTTTTACACATCTCATGGGCCACACAGAGTTCCTGGAGCGCATTTCATCAGCAGTGTCGGCTCAACACGAGTGAGCTGTGGAACGGTTTCGACATTCAGTGTTGTCTCATCAGCAGTCAGGCTTGCTTGAACCATTGCTGGCGAACAACCAGAATGGCTTGAGGCAAGGATACTCGCTATTTGATTTGGGTCCTCGTTCGACGCAAAACGTTATGATACATTTCATACGTACGCGTTCGAAAGGTAAAATATTTATTTATTCTTCTTGATTCTTTCGGTAAAGTCACGTAGAAGGGAAATAATAAAATTATAAAAATTAAACATAATAATATAATAGACTTTACCGAAAGAACCAAGAAGATGAATCCCTGCAGTCACGAAAGCTTTAAATAGAAATTTATTTATCATTTACTTTTGGGATAGGGCACGTGGAGATCTGGTCAAAAGTTGTGTTGTAAACCCCTCCCGCACCCAACCCAGCCAATCAAATTAAGTAGTCACGTGGTGTACGAGAAATTAGCGCGCCGATTATCACTGTCAGATCACCGGTGAGTCAAAGGACAATCCTCGCGGCTCAGTTTATCAGATTAGATCCTCTCCGTTAGACATGGGGGTCCTAGTTCGCCGCAAACCCGCATGGTACGTAACAGAACATAATTATTAGCGGCGCGATGTGGAGAATGTGACAACATGAATGAGCCAAAGCAAGGCATGCAGTAAGGTACCCCCTGATGTGTGATGTGTGTGGGGGGCGGGGGGAGTGGGGGGGGTGGGCGTGAGGATGAGGGGGGAAAGCCACTTGAAGGAATTTCAGAAGAAGTGCTGTGTATTCCGATTCTGCGGGCCGCTCCGTAACGAACGTGGGGGTGACGCCGCCGCTCTCTGTCGAAGCTCCAACCTTTGTCTCGGGACGTGACACCAAACAGCAGAGTTGGGACTAAAATTGGCAACAACAACAACAAAAAAGTTAATATTTTATGCGACCGATCCTGGGGTTTATTAAAACCATAAATTGCGATGGAACGACGGGGCTAGAAGCTGGGCATTAATAATGTGACATCTGGCCGGATCCCAGTCGGACACCTGAATTATTGCTGAGCCATTACCGTGAGGCTCTCCACGGATCGCCACACATTCACCCGGGCTGCTCCTCCTCCTTGGGGAAACGTCGCTGCAGGCAGCAGAGGCAGGGGAGGCGATCCAGAGATTTCAGGCTAATTCAATACGAATACAAGTAACCTTATTTCCTTTGGTAAATACCAACGCGGCGCCGATTTTCAGGGTCTGAATTGGAGACTGGAGACGAAATGCCGCCGTGGCGGCGGTGGCGGTTGTTGGCCCATTGGAGGCCTTGAACAGAAAACAATGTCTGGCAGAGGTCGCAAACAGGTTTTGACTCCTTACCCGTACCCGTACCCGGCCGCAACAGGGTCGCAAATGGGTACCCGTACCCGTACCCGGCTGGGTACGGGTAGCCGTTCCCTACCCGTACCCTACCCGAAATGAGTGACAAACGGCTACTCACCAGTGACTCACGGCCTACCCGTACCAGGCCGGGTACGGGTAGCCGGGTATCGGGTAGGGTATGGGTATTGGGTACCCGGTTGCGACCTCTGATGTCTGGTGGGCCTCCCACTTTGAATGACGAACTGCCGGTGCGACGGCACAAAGAGGCGATGTGCACGAGAGAGGAGAAAGTGCGGGCGAGATGGGAGAAGAGAGGCGCGAACGTGGCGGTGAAACGAGAGAGACGTCGACAAGCGAGCCAGGGATGGCGGGCAGCGGATGTCGCAGGGCTACCTCGTGAGAGGCCCTTCAAAGTGACCTACGCTCCAGACCGTAGAGGAATTTTTGCTCACACGGCAGTTGCATTCTCGGGGGGGGAGGGCGTGGAATTTCGTCAAATGAAAGTTGCAGATCGGAATTTAGCGTGACGGGTGTTTTTCCTGCAGTTCCATTTGTAAATGTTTGCGTGACAAAAAGAAAACCCAAGTCGGTTTTTTGTTTGCTAAGGACTATAATCAGTTGCTTAAATAGCTTTGGTTCGTTCTGTCGTTTGTCGATACGTTTGTGACACGAGTGTGCGAAGGGAAAACAATACTCGCGCTAGAATCTTGGGCGTGTCGGACCATGTGACCTCGCGACCCACGACTCACGACCACCCGACCCGAACCCTCATCCCACGTCAACCGTCGCCACCTTTCCCGCTACGCGTGACCCAAACCCGCAGATATAATTTTATTTTTTACTCATTGACTTCTCTGCGTGGATGCTTTGTTATTCTCGCAGTGTCAAAGCACTAACTTCCATTACATCGGAGGCCAATGGCGGAGCCAGGATTTTCAGGTAGGGGGGACAACCCCTCCAGCAATGAAAAATGATAGAGTTGTTAGTAAGTAAGGACTTGTCCCTTGCTTTTTATTCGATGCGTGTGCGGCGATGGCGCAGACATCGGTCGACGGTCGAATTCGAACCGCGTTGTGTGATCGGCATCGCGCTCGCTGAAGGTGAATGTGCCTTCAGGGAAGTCGTGTCCTGTAGACGCAACTGCGAACAATTCTGAGTCACTTATAACCGCTTTGCCGTTACTTATTACCAATTATGGACTCAGACTATTGTCTTATCATCTCGTAGAGTCTCTGGCACGTAATAATATGCTACACAGTGGCAGTGCGGGTCGCAAAATGCTGATGTATTACTAATAAACCCCAATGATCCGTCACGAAATGAGGGATTTCGATCGGATCATTGGGGGGCACGTGTCCCCCCCCCCCCACTGGCTCCGCCAGTGTCTTAAGGCCTCGGCTCCTAAATGCAGATTCTGGAAAACATGTAACCAGACATCCTGTCTTGTGTTATATATTTATTTACATTGCGCCTTATTCCAAGGCGCTTTACAGCAATTATACAATTGTACATAAGACGATAGTGATTGAGATAATAAAGTGTGGGGCTTTGGTAGGGTAGTTATGGTGATAGGAGAGTAGGCAGGAGAGGTTAATGAGCGGTTGGGGTAAGGGTGGTATGGTCGGGGTAGTGATAGGGGTTGGGGTAGTGATAGGGGTATTGATAGTGGTTGTGGTAGGGGTAGTGATAGGGGTTAGGGTAGTAAAGAGGGTTTGGGTTAGTGATAAGGGGTTGGACTCCCATTACTCACTGTGCTAAGAGTACACAGTGACTGTTATGTTCACCCATGTGTCTCCCTACACGTGTCTCTCTGCATGTGTCTATGTATCTCCACGTGTCTCTCTGCATGTGTCTATGCGGGCCACCCATGCATGCCCGTTGCTACCCGGCCCAGTGCAGGACTCTGAATGGGCGCTGAATTTTTACAACGTTTAATGCCGGATATATTTTCTTTTTGTTCTTCCAACGTTTTTGCGCAATTTTAATTTTACAATTTCGTCTGTGTGCAAAATAATTGTAGCGCTGTACTAGCAACAACAACAAAACAGGCTTTCGGAGGCCTACATAAAGATTACCGATCATTATATAAATCACAATTCATCTTGTTTATTCAGGGAAACTTCTATCGAGAGCTCAAGACTCGCTTTCAGCGGGGCCTTTGCTCGTTTTTTCCGTCACTGAGGGTTCATTGCGTTTCCTAATGGGATGACTCCAGCACGACGGGAGAATAACCATGCACACGACGAGAGACACCACTCATATTGATGTATTTTATTGTATATGCAAAAATCCCATTAGATTTCGATTTAAAGCTTTCGTGACTGCAGGGATTCATCTTCTTGGTTCTTTCGGTAAAGTCACGTAGAAGGGAAATAAAAAAATAATAAAAAAATAATAAAATATTTTATTATGTTTTATTTGTATTATTTCCCTTCTACGTGACTTTACCGAAAGAACCTAAGAAGATGAATCCCATTAGATGTCATAATGCCCTATACAATTCAAGTTCCCTGATGCCAGAATGCCCTGCAAAATGTTACAATGCCTCCACAGCACGGTAAATGATTATTGCCGTTATTACAGAATCAACATCTAATATCACAACGATTACAAAAAAAAAAACGACACCTTAATTCCTAGAACACTCGGGATTTTGACGGGATATTTATTTGTATGCGATGTGGTCATATCCCTAGCGCAACGCACGTCTTAGGGGGGGTCCCCCCCCCCTAGTCTCCACCGTGAGGCTTCATAATTCCTCCTATTATCATTACAGCAACGCACCGTTAAAAGTACGAAGCTGCCCCACTCCAAGTCTTTTTTTTACTTTACGGGTGCCGCACACACGTACAGCGAAACGTACGGCGACAACGTTTCCTGCGCTCCCCGTGTCCTTAAAACATCGTACGAGAAGCGAGTTCATAACCCTCTCGTGTAAATACATACGCGCATATTTGCCCGAAATTCATTTGTAGAAAGCTCAAGGTAAACATTTTTCCGGTGGAGAGGGACCCCCCACCCCCCACCCCCCAAAGAAGAGGAGTGGCTTCTCAAGGGCGTACCCACATTTTACCCCGCCACGGACAAACCTGCCATCCAATCATAGACTGGAACTGTGGCATTAACCCCACTGATCGAGATGGGGGGATAGAGGCAGCGGGGGGGGGGGGGGGGTATGGATGGGAAGGAGGCATGAGGGGTGACTTTTAGAAACTCGCCCCCCCCCCCCCCCCATTGCACTGGGAGATTGAGTTTAACCGACGACCTCTGGATTGCGAGTTGTTCAGTGCATCATATTCATGATGACAACACCGACACCAATAAAATACATTTATAAATCCTTTATATTAAGTTCACTTGCTTGCTTAGGACCGTGCAAATCTTTCGGTCGTTTTTGAACCCACTTCCCGTGATCCAATCGAGCTGACATTTTGCACACAGACTCGTTGTGCGTGACAATGCATTTTCGTGAGAAAAAAAATTCCTAAATTTTACACTGTTTAGGGAAATTTTTTTAAATATTTAATTACCAATTTTTAATGCTGCCAGACAATCATCTGACCCATAGCTGGCAGCCATCTCAAGCCAGAGGACGAGAGGACTCCAGCCGCCTCGATGCCACGCATATAAAGGATTTGTTTTTACGGGTGAATTTTTTACTTATTAAAAAAAAAATTCTATCTACGTGACTTTACCGAAAGAACCAAGATTTTGAATTCCTGCAGTCACGAAAGTTTTAAGTCAAAACCCAACAAAAGAACCCGTTACAAAAGCAACTTGCTCCGTACTGTTACATATCCTGTGTGTTCCCGTGGACTGAACGCAGTGTACTCGACCGTAAGTAGATTTGTTTTTGTTGTTGTGAATTTGTTTTGTGTAGAAAAAAATAAACACACTTGCAAGTTCGTGCTTTTGGGGCAGTGCGCAAAATAGAGGCCGGCATCCGGAATACACAAGTCACGGGCATTCAAACGCGCCGCGCGATATTTCACCATCGATACGCGGCACGTACTTCCCAAAATGGTATTTTGCGCCGCGATGCAAGGTGTTCAAAAAAGACAAAGATCCCTCGTACAGCCTTTTAACAGACTGCTGGGGCATTGTGCTGTTAGGGAGCACCTATGAAGGTCGGCACGACACACAGCAGCAGGTACTCATTTGAGGCTGAGTCGACCTAGGGGAGGCCCAGGACCAGTTCAGAAAAAAAATATTATTGGTGTTGGCCATGAGTGGGAATTGAACTCGTGTCACCGGGTTTGTAGCGCACCCCGCTACCCGCTACCCACACTCGCGCATACACACACGTGCACGCACACGCACATACATTGTACACATCCACGTGTTACATGTTGCACAACATACAAGATACAAGGGTACCCCATGTAGCCTGCATAGGTTCGTAGCGCAGCACGCTAACCACTGCACAACGCTCCCCACATAAACTAAAACACACGCGCCAGATTACAACATACATCGGCCAATTTTTGCTTTGAAATACAGAGGGAAAAGTGCATCTTGTAATCCCAGAAAATACGGAAAATTATTGTCTAAATTCTCAACGTATATTTTACGCTGCATTTTTTCTCTCGCATCGTCTCATCGCATTCATTCTGTCAGTGAAGTGGTCAAACTCTGCGATGTTTTATCTCCCAAATGTAGATTGAGGTTCAGTTTCCATCCCACGTTGAACACAATGTCAGGCTCCCTGCAGCAGCTGTTCTGTGAAGAGGTCAATAAAAACAAATGCCCTGGACCCTCAGCCCCACTCTGACACTACCCGCTCTGCCACTGACAGTAATGTTCGTCGCACGCATGGCGGTCAAATCGGCATTTCAATTCACAGAGATGGAATTTAGCCAAATCGAGTGTACAACCAATTTGCTGTTGTTGTTGGGCTGAGACCACCAACTCGCTAGACGAATCACGTTCGCCTGAAACCTGGGTTGGAACTCAGGTCTTCAGCGGTGCCGACTCAGCGTCTATGACCCCTGCAGATACCAGACCGTAACAAATCATCTTTTGGGAGCCGTTCTCTGACGAGACGCAAGGAAGGCGTTGCGAGCGGATGCAAATATTTGAGGGCCAATTATCCGTTCCATGACATCACTACCGTCCATACTAAAGTTTTATTGGGGGTTAGACCGCGTAAATATAAATGTGTCGTTAAAACCCGCCACCAACTCGACACAGCCAATGAGTAAGGTTTGTCACGTTAAACAAAAACTACTGCTTCAGCACACCGCTGTGTGATGGAGAGTAAACCCACAGGATTCGCAATTCGAGTACGACGTTTCGCAACTGCGCCAGAGTTGTATAAAAAACAATTGGTGACTTTAAAATATCGGACAACCATTAAAGGTGTCATGTTACCGCGATAGCTATTTTGTGAATTATAATTAGACAGAAAATTTGAGCCAAGTCAATGAAACGATACGAACTCACTCCACGCCTGGTGGTGCGAAGCCTTCATCGTTACAGGTAGTTTGCGCCTCTTAAACCATGCGTACCCAATACAAAATAACTCTACACTACTCTCAGTTCCTTCGGTAAAGTCACGTAGGTAAAAAAAAAATGAAATTAAAATGAATACTTATTAATTTTTATTTTTAAAAAATGAAATTAAAATTAATAATTATTAACTTGAATTTCATTTTTTTTTATAAATTTTAATTTCAAAAAAATGAAAATAAAATTAATAATTATTATTTTTAATAGCATTTTTTTTACCTACGTGATTTTACCGAAAGAGCTGAGAGTATGAATCCTTGCAGTCACGAAAGCTTCAAATCTAGAACTCTACACTCGCTCGGCGATCGACAGGGGAAGGATGTGCTCTCGAACTTGGGATCAATCGGAGAAAATCGGAGCGAGCGAGGTGATCGCCAGCACCTCGCTTAGCCTGGCATCAGCGTCCAATTGCTTCCACTTTTCATCTGCGTCCGTCGACAGCGACTCGTACACTTCGTGTTCAGAAACAGAAACTGAAATAAGTATAACCCGTAAAAACAAAGTTTTTCACTATAAATCCTTTATATGCGTGGTGGCTAGTGTCCTCTCGTCCTCTGGCTTGAGATGGCTGCCACCTATGGGTCAGATGATTGTCTGCCAGTATTAAGCAATTGGCAATTCAATATTTAATTTGTGTTCCCTAAACAGTGTAAAATTTTGGAAAAAAATTTTCACGAACATTAATTGTCTCGCACAACGAGTCTGTGTGCAAAATGTCAGCTCGATTGGATCACGGGAAGTGGGCTAAAAAACGACCGAAAGATTTGCACGGTCATAAGCAAGCAAGCAAGTGAACTTAATATAAAGGATTTTAAAAAAACCAAGCGGCAGAAATAAGTTGTTGTCAACGTTTCAACCGCGCACTTCCAACCGCGCTGCTCGATTATCTTTAATAATGCACGACACCCTCTACGGATAGCCCCTTAACTTGTAAAGTGGTGATTTCTTTTTTTTTTCAAAGAAAAACAATTCAAAATGCAAGGAAATCCCACAAATGATTTTGTCGCGTGCCACGTCTCCTCGGTCAACAACACGCCGTGGAAGGGGACGCGTTGGTGCTTGTTTGTACGGGCAAGGCGGACACGTGATGGCAGCTCGACTGAAAAAAACACTGATCTGGTGAAGTTAACCCTCCGCCCACACACACACACAGACACACATTTGTACAA